CAAATGCAGCAAAGCTGATTTGACGACTTCACAGTACAGATGGACAATGATCCAAAACACACTGCAAAAGAAACCCAGGAGCTTTTGAAGGAAAAAAAAAGTTGAATATTTTGCAATGGCCGAGTCAATCACCTGATCTTAACCCAATCGAGAATGCAATTTCATTTGCTGAAGGCAAAACTAAAGGCAGAAAGACCCGCAAAGAACTGAAGACAGCTGCAGTTAGAGCCTGGCAAAGCATCAGAAAGGAGGAAACCCAGTCTTTGGTAACGTCCATGGGTTCCAGAATTCAGGCAGTCATTGCCAGTAAAGGATTCTCAACAAAATGATAAAAACAAACATTTTATTTATGATTTATTAATTTGTCCAATTACATTTGAGCCCCTGAAAGTGGAGGGACTGTGTATAAAAATGGTTGCAGTTCCTAAAATTTGTACTTGATATGTATGTTCAACCCCTTGAAGTAAAGCTGAAAGTCTGCACTTCAAATTAATTTGGATTGTTTCATTTTAATTTATTCTGGTGGCATAGAGAACTAAAAAGTATGAAAATTGTGCCTGTGTCCAAATATATATGGACCTAACTATATATATTAGTCCTGTATGGCACACTGTGGCTGACTACAGGTTTTTGCACAAAACGCGATGCTCTAAGCAATGTTACAGCTGCATTGAATTGATCCGGAATCACTGCTTCTATTGTGGTGTTAGAAGACAGTGATGAAGCGGATTGAAGAATCTAAATATATATAAAACTAGTAGAAGAGCGATTTCTCCATACGAAATAAGACAGAAGAGGTCAATCACCTTGGGACCTCAGCAAAAAACAGAGAATTCACAGATTGGTGTAGGGTTATAGGGAAGGCACCCAGAAGATGTGTCCTTAAATGCTTGGCAGTGTCCAATCACCTGAAACTACAAGCCTATATCCCAAGGTCTATGAATACTCTGTGTCCTGTATTGTACGATTAAGATTTCAAGGTCTCCTTTACCACAAAGGGCTATGCTGTGTGGCAGAGCTGTCTAGATGTCAGAACTGGATGGGCAGAAAAACAAATACTCTGCCCAGATAAACAGATCCCTTAAATGTAATTAATCAGTCTGTTTAGCCAATTGACTAGGTAAAATCAGATTAAAACAGGTAGAAGAGAGAAAGTAGTAAGACATGTCAGTGCACTTCCCTAAACATACTCCTAAATAAAACCCTGGCCTGCACATTGCCCTGGAATCCGGTGAGAGGTTCTTATTCTGGGGTACAACTCTGAACATGTGCACCTGCTCTTACCCCCAGCTCTCAACATAGGGTTGAAAGCTGTTCACCTATTTAGCCTCCTGACGCACCACCCTCTCTATTTAACAATTTTCTTAGCAACTCACTAAGAGTACTTAAAAAAAAAAAAAAAAAAAAAAAGGGGGGTGCCCCCCCCCTTCTCTCCACCACCCCAACATCTCTCCACCACCCACCTCCCCCCCCCCCCCCATCCCAAACTCCAACTATCTTCTCTTTTTATTAACTGGCTGCCATTTCTCTACCTTACACTTTTATTTGACCCCTCTGACCATCCCTCAATGCCCACATTCTGCAGTTCCAGTTTTTTGCAAAAGTCAGAGGAGTTCTGGAAATCTTAGCCTTGCCGATTTCCCATCCTTCCATCCATACATACCGGGAACCCCCAGTTTATTGCACTCTTTTCTCCCTCATCTGATCCAATAAAGTTTTCAACTATCTTCTTCTCACTGGTGTCTCAGATGCATGTCTGCAAAAACCTGCAAGTTCGAGTCTCCAAATCTTATTTCAGGACTCTCCCGCAATTTTTTCCATATTCTCTCCCTATCTTCATAGTGGTGAAAACGTACAATCACTTCTCTAGGGATGTCTGATGCTAATCCTGGCAGACATCTTAACCTGTGTACTCTCAATTTTCAAAGGATCTACTGTAAAACTAATCTGTCCATCATTGGGTTAAACACTCATTTTTCGCAAAGGTCCTCCTCATGCACATCATCTGGTAATCCTCGGACCCTTAGATTAGTTCTTCTCTCTCGGTTCTCTTGATCCTCCAGTTTAAGAGAGAGCTTCCTCTGCTCCCTTCTCATCTCCTCTAACTGGTTCTCCAGATTGATGATCTGCTGGGCTAGTATCTCCGTTTTCTCCTACACTTCTTCTACCCTTGTTGACATTAATCTCAGACCCTTATGAAATATCGCCATTTCATTTTTCATGGAAAGTTATGATTTTGCAAACATTTCCACCATCTCTGTTCTTCTGGGAATTTGTGATATTGTTCTCTGTTGTTTCAAAACTATTTGATCGATTACGTTTGACAATTATAGATTCGTTGATCTCTTTCCCTTCCCTTACTCCAAATGATAATCTAGACTGCTCACCATCGTACTTCCTACTTCCTTCCTGTTTCTCCATGCCATGTATCTTTGAGCTTTTTTCTTGCAATGGCATATATTTCTTTATTGTACTAGTATTTGCGTTGGGTTGCAGGGTTTTTACTCCCACCCCCCCCCCCCCCCCATCCTTAGCAGATTTGTTCTTCATATTGACTCACCATAAAATTTTATCTCAAACTTAAAAATGCAGTATTACAGATCTGAGAAAGGAAGAAAGAAAAAGAAAAAGTCCCTCCTTTCCACTCTTTCAAAAAACTTTTACAGTCCTGGACTGCTTTAAATATACAGTATATATGTGTTTTTTTACATCGATACTTGGCCTCTGCATTCCTCACATTCCTTGGTCTTTCGGCCACCCAGCCTCACTACTCAGATGTACTATTACAAATACAGATAGCAGAGACAGTAGTTTACATCTTCGTCTGTTGCCCACGACAACTCACCATCACCCTCCGAGGTCCCGTTCCCTCTGCCTCTATGTACCTCTCCTGTCCCAAATGGAGACTCCTGTCCCAGATCGTGTCCTGAGTGGGGTCTGGGCGGTTATTAACAGTGCCTCATCCACAGATATCTCCGGGTCTCCTGGACTCCCAGGCTGTTAGCCTATCTCTGGGTCAGTGGAGCATCTAGCCGCTAGCTTGCAAAGCCCCTGTGTGTGCTGGCACCCCCTGGGTCCTTCAGGCACCTTCGCCTTCTGCCTCTCTCAGGGTCCTCTCCAAGGAGAGTCTCCGTCAGCAAGCGCCAGACCTGCCGGGAGCCAGGATCTCAGCCCCAGAATGTTGCAGCGCCGCCCTGCTCACACCATCGCCGATCGCCACGTGGTCCTCTCCAGTCCTGCCAGCTCCTCTTAGACCCCCGACGACCAGAGCCATCGTCCAGAGCAGGTAACTTATGGGGGTACCATCCGGCACAAAACTAATCTTCATGGCAGGCATCAGGAGTTTCTGTGCTCAACAGCCTCCCAGCACCATATTCATGCACCTTGCCTTGAGCAGAAAAAAGGTGTTAACTCTTGCCCAGAAATGTTTACTTCTGACAAAAATGTTGTTGTGGGCAAATCCCTCATTCACTTCACCAGACAGCTGGGCATTAAACAGTACATCCCCAGTAAACGAGCCAAATATGGGTAAAGTTAATACAAGGTATGTGACAGGGCCACAGGATATACAGTACATAAAACTTCAAAATTTATGAGAGGAAGGACATTCAGCTAGACCCCTTCCTGGATGCCCTACTTATATGGGGACTAGTGGTGAAATTGTTTGGCAACTTTTAGAGCCACTATTCAAGAAGGTTTACCATCTGTACGTTGATAATTTTTTATCCTATAGCCTTTCCTCAAGCAGGATGACACCCCAGTGGAATTTCCAAACAAGGCATGGTCCATTCCAAAAACCCAAAGTGCACACACGTCTAAAACCCGTTTACGTGGGGTAAGGGGTTTTGGGGGTGGATATAAACGACCAAATGTTACAGCCCCCAAAGCCACCAGGAGATCAATCTATTGGTATAAAAAGGTATACACCTATTTATTTCAGTTAGTCCTGTACAATTCTTGTGTCATCTTTTTTACGTGCACACAAAGACCCCTGTCCTGCCTGAAATAAAAAGAGGACATGTTACAGTCCTTTTCTATCCGGATGACAATGCCCCTGAACAAATTTGCTCCAATTCACTGAGAAAACTTCTCTAAAAGACATTTCCCCGATATCCTCCTTCCTACCCAAACTTGCCGCAACCCCACCAAAAAAAATGTTGTGTATGTTCCAGTAACAGAATTCACTGTGACATCTGATAATACTGTCCCCAGTAGGCCAGCCAGGCCTCTTTATTGGAGAATGCTTCCAGATCTATCATACATCACTACACGATTAGCAAGTATAACAAGATATTTTTTCAGTGTCCGTTAAATATTTCCCTGTATTACCATGCCTCTGCTTGCCGACTGAACTATCAACCACGTTTCTGCCTTCCTCGGCCTGTTAAAATCGACCATGCTTTTGCCTGCCGCTGGAATTGATCTTTTGCCCTGCCACTTTATTAGTAGAATTCAAGATAACACTAAGGTCTCCTGTATGTGAAGGGATCCAGAGTAGTTTTTCAGGAGTGGAGACCGGACGCTTCAAAGAGGTTTGGGTGGGAAGAAGTCTCTACCCATGTCCAGGTCTTACCTGACTGAGTCCCTAAGCCTAATGTTTCTCCCTGCTGCCATCTTATCCGTTAATCAACCATGCGTCTGCCAGAACTGACTACGCCCTGACTGGACCCTGCACTGTTTATGGATCAGGTTCTTGCTTTTATAGCGCCACATAAATTGATGGCGCTATAAAAGTACCTGTAATAAATAAATACAAATCAAACTACAAAACACCTACAGCTAGATACAAACCAAACAATAAGCCAAGTAATTATAGATTTCCTCACCTATCTTTAAGGTCAAAAATGATTCTTTGACACATGCAGAAATAAAAGAAAGGGTGAATATGTTGGCTTGCTTCTATCCTCTCAGAATTTTTTTTTGTTTTTGTTTTTAATTCACACCTTATTCATTTCAGAACATGGCTATTTGGCTTAACAATGATACTTCGTCAAACTAACCTTCTGTTTGCTTTTCCATAATGTGAAGTATGGACTGCATAAAATCATTCTGCTTGTTAGGCCCTAGCAACAGTGATGCCATGGCTTGTTCCTCAAGTACTGTAAGCAGCATGCAAATACCTATAGACAAAAGGCAGAACATGAATCAATAGAATAAATTAAACAGAAGACATTCTCAACACTGTGAATCCCAAAGTGTATAATGTGTACTCCTTGGGGGAAAACACTCTTCATCGCAGTTGAACCATTAATGTACACTTATGAGGGAGGCAGCCATAACTGACCTCTTCCTATGAGAATTTTGGTTTCCTGGCTGTCTACCCTTTGGCTTTAATGCTCTGTCACTGACTTGGTATAGAGATGAGGAATTCTTAGCCTGGGTTCACATACGTGCGGCTCGGTAGATCGCATGTGATTCACAGAGGAACCGCACCGCATTCCTGTGCAAATGACATGCGATTTGTGTGAGGTGCGAACGGAGCCATACATTTTGTATGGCTCTATTTACAACACACCCAAAATGTGCAGTACCCTTTTTTGGGTCCTCACTAGAATTGGATCGCATCGGTATTCACACCTATGTGATCCGATTCTTCACATCACACCGCGTTTTTTGCGGATCCGCTTTTGGGGTGTTAACATACACACCTGCAACAGTACGCATGAAAACTGTGTACGATTCTGATGCGGTGCAGAATTCACACTGAAAACGCTGCAAATTCCACACCGATCACTGTGAACCAGGACTCACACTTATCCTTCTGCTTCTTGTTAACCACTTGTCCTCCTGCGGATTTACCAACCTTCCTGACCAGGCCTTTTTATGCTATTCAGCACTGCACTATTTCAACTGGTAATTGTGCAGTCATGCAATGCTGTACCCAAACAAAATATATGTCTTTTTCACACAAATAGAGATTTCTTTCAGTGGTATTTGATCACATGTGCGCTTATTTTTTGCGCTACGAACAAAAAAAAAAAAAAAAACAAAACAGATTTTTGTTTTTAACTTCGGCTATAAAAAATATATAGTAAACTCAAAGTGAGTCATACATTATGGCCAAAATGTACTCTGCTGCATGTCTTTAGGAAAAAAAAGACCAGTAAGTGTATATTGATTTCTTTGTGTGAAAGTTATAGCATCTACAAAACTATGGTATAGATAATGTAATTTAGCTTCTTTTGCTTTCTGACTGCCCATCACATTTATTGAGGTGCTAAAATACCAGGATAGTACAAACACCCCCAAATGACCCCTTTTCAGAAAGTAGACACTTTACGCTATTTGCTGATAGGCATATTGAGTCCATGGAAGATTTATTTTTTTTTCTAGTTTTTGAATATGACAAATTTTAAATATGACAAAAATCACTTAATTTATTTTATTTTGTTTACACTACCGAAGTTGTCACTTAAATGAAATCCAATGACCACTTTGAAAGCCTGAAGGTGCGTAACTTCCTCATTTCACTTCCTCACTACCTATCACAGTTTCGAAGGCCCTGAAATTACAGGATATCACCAAACCCCCCCAAATGGAAAGTAGACACCCCAAAACGCATTGTGAGTATTTTGCAGATCTAATTTTTTCTCACAAGGTTTTGAAATATAAAGAGAAAAGAAAACATATGTTTTTGTTTTCTTTCTTCATTTTCCAAAAACGTGTGGCAACAAACAAGATCTGCAAAATACTCACCATGCTTTTTATCAAATTCCTTGGGGTGTCTACTTTCCAAAAAGGGGTTATTTGGAGGGGTTTGGTGCTATTCTGGTATTTTAGGGCCTACAAAACTGTGATAAGTAGTCAGGAAGTGTAATGAGGAAAAAAAGCCCTTTAAAAGCCTGAAGGTGCTTATTGGATTTTGGGGTCCTATACTTGACTAGACTGCCAAAAAGTCTCACATGTGGTATCCCCATACTCGGGAGAAGAACCAGAATGTATTTTGGGGAGTATCGCCATACATACCCATGGCATATGTGAGCAATAAATCATTTAATTGACAACTTTGGGTACATTTGTTTTTTTTTGTCATTTTCCAAAAACCTGTGCTAAAAAAATAAATTCTTCGATTGACTCACATGCCTCTCAAATAGTTGAGAGTGTCTACTTTCCAAAAAGGGGTCATTTCGGGGGGGTGGGGGCATTTTATGCCCAGCATTAGAAGTTTAATGCCACACATCACTCACTCTTCTAACCACCTGAAGACCAAGCCTTTTCTGACACTTTGTTAACATGAAAAAAAATCTGTATTTTTTTGCTAGGAAATTACTTTGAATCCTCAAAACACTATATTTTTTTAAAGCAGACACCTTTAAAACTGTGCATGTCCCGTGCAATGGCGACAAAGTGCATACATTTTTAATATCCATAAGCAGTAGTTTAAAAGCTTTTTCAAGCTACCATTTTACATTTGCAGAGGAGGTATAGTGCTAGAATTACTGCTGCAGGCATCATCCTGGTATAACCACTCAAAGTCCAGTGATGTACCAGTACGTCGCTGGTCCTTATTGGGTGTATATGCTATATTCATTTTTTTTTTTTTATGCAGCCTGTGGGCTGAATGCAAAAAATAGAGGAAATCTCTGCCAGAAAAAGTGGGTGGTATGCCCTCCAATTGGAATATACCGCCCTTCATCCACCCATTTCTAATGAGGGGCAAAGATGAAAAAAATATAAAAAATATAGCATGGGGGGCTGGGGGGGCCAGTGGGTGGATGGCCCCTATGCGTCGGCAAATTTTATAATATTTTTTGGCACATATGCGCTTTTTTTTTTTTTTTTAACTGGGGATGAAAAAACTCATCCAACAGCACTGCACACACACTTATGCATATTCTGAGAGCAAGACCCTGTTGCTGTCAGAATAAAGAAGTCGATGCTGCAGCTGCAAAGAAAACAGCAATGGTTAACAATAAAACAGTAAAATTGTAACAGTGGAATAGTAACGGCAACAACAAACTATTTTTGGTTTTTAAAATTTTGAGTGGGATTTGTACTTTTTTTTTTTTTTTTTTAAACTTTAAACTTTTTAAAACAGATTGTAAGGTCTTTCAAAATGCTATAGCCAGTTTCCTGACTACCTAACATCTTTCAAGACCCTGTGTAAATATGTGCCCTGAACTGTGCCGTGCTGTACCCTATACTAATACTCCACTAGTGTATGGTAGTGACGGAAGCAGTCCTTGAGGCAGAGACCAGATTGTCCAAGACAGGAGGAACAAAAAAAAAAAAAAAAAAAAAAAAAAAAAAAAAAAAAAAGGCGGGTTTCACGACTAATTCCATGTCTGCTACAGATACAAATTTTTTTTAGGGTGTCCTTTGGGTTGGGGTACCAGGAATGGTAATGTGAAAATGCCTCTCATGCAGTCTAGCTAACTGCATCTGTGTTGGGGGTTTGGGCAACAGCAACTTCTGGATACAAAAAGGACCGTGATGATCTCTTCCTGGAATTTTAGGAAGGATCCACTTTGTCCAGTTGCTTTGTAAAGCACAAAAGCATTATATAAACCCAATTGAAATAAAAACCAACACTTTTTTTGTACCAGCGTCTGGCTTTTCAGGAAACTAAGTACAACTTCATCATCTGGTCATTGAAGTCCACCCCTCCCATGTTAAAGTTATAGTCGTGGACACAGAGGGGCTTCTCAACACCAGCTGCCTTGGCAATTTGGATGGTCGTGTCTGCGGGAATGGAGGACAAGACGAAAACATCCCATTTGTCTTTCCACTTCACTGCGAGCAATTCCTCATTTCTAAAGCAGCTTTTTCCCCCCTTTCTAAGACGAGTGTTTACAAGCCTTTGGGGGAAGCCCGTCAATTAGATTGCACGGTGCCACATGTGCCAATTCCAAGATTGTACAAATGTCTAAATAATGGCACGCTTGAATAAAAATTATCCATATATAAGTGGTACCCCATACAGAAAAAGGATGACACCAAGTCCCAAACTATCTTGCCACTGCTCCCCATGTAGTCTGGGCATCCGGGGGCTCCATGTGACTATCTTTTCCCTCGTAAATCCAAAACTTATATGTTGCACTCTCACAGGTCTTATACATCTTGACCCCATATCTGGCACGCTTGCTGGGGAGAAATTGTTTGAATGCAAGGCAGCCAAAAAAAATTATTAAGGTACTCATCAACGCAGATGTTTTGCTGGAGAGTATAGACATCTGCAAATTTTTGGTTGAGGAGATTTATGAGGGGCCAAGTTTTGTGGAGCTGGACAAAATTCAGGGTCACCCCGAGGACAAAAGTGTGTTGTTGAAATGCATAAAACGCATTATACTTTCATATCTATGCCTGGCCATGGCAGCAGAGAACACAGACATTATGATGAATTGGGTCTGTGGACCAATACAACCGCAATTCATTTTTTTTTAGTAATACCTATGTTGAGGGTTAGGCTAAAAAATACTTTAAATTTGGAAACCGTAATGGGTTTCCTTGCGAATGGTCTGGCAAGGTTTGAATTTAGGTTGGCAGCGATAAACTGTTGTGCATATAAATTGCTTTGATCCACAATCAATGCATACAGATCATCCGTGAAAAACAGTTCCAAAAAAAAAAAAAAAAAAAAAAAAAAAAAATCAAGGGGCATATTTAAATTTGCTGTTTCCACCTGAATTCCGGGTTGGGCAGTGAATGGGATAAGTACAGGTGCTGCAGAATTCGTGGGCTGCCAATCGGGATTTGCAAGCACATCCGGAAGGATACTAGGGGCTCTACGGGCCTGTGTGCGAATTCTTGGAGGCTGCGGGACACTACTTGTGCTCGCCACCGCACCAGCTGTACTGCACTTGTGAGACTCACCACGTCACCAAGTGATGCTGCATTGCTGGTATGTGAAAGACCAGGATTACTAGGCCACTGGTGCTCGCCAGTTCACCAAAAGGTAGAGCGACACTAGTACTGGCACTCTGCTGCATATGAGAGTCATCATGCGATTGTAACATCTCAGCAACCTGGGAATGGGGTCGGGTACGCCTAATCTTAGCTCAGACGATGGAGAAGAGGTCCCTGCTATCTACAAGGGTTCCACTGCTGTCTACAGGTTCGCATTCTGAGACTGATTGTGTCAGGGAGTCTTCCCCTTCACTCTCACCCGACATGCTCAGAATCCTGTAGGCCTCTTCACTAGCGTACCTTTCCATTGACAACTTGGCCACTAAATTACCTAGTGCGACTCACGGGGAAAAAAAAAAGCACCTGGCTATCAGGGACTACTTGAACCGCTACAAAAAAAACGTACAGGCAGGTGCTAAAAGAGATCAGGCCTGATATTGTAAACACTGCGGTTTTGTGTGTAATGTATCAAGTGACAGCGATCTACTGGCACTGCAGTTTGCCGGGGGGAGAGGGGGTGGGGGGTAAGCATAGGGGCTAAAACGTAGGTGCTGGCAGGTGACGGGGCTGACCCTGCTAACGCTGCATTTCTGGGGACACTATACTAATGTGAATGCTGGTATAGTGCTGATCTGATCAAATGGGGTTAAATGTATCCTAAAGTGTTCTGCGAAAAGTGTGCTGCTTTTACTCACTGTGTCTTGATTCTTCTCCATGGAAAGGAATGTGCCTGGAGAGAGCAGATGTCATCACTTCCTGTATCTGTGTAACTGTAAAAACACAGGTACAGGAAGATCCCTGATAGGACAGGGGTCGATCATCCGACTTAGGCCGACCATCACTGGCCTAAATCGGATGATTGATCCTTTGGGGATCAAATCACGGCACCCGCGGGTTGGTGGGGGTGCGCGCCCCCCCCAGCCAGCGAAAACGCGAATCACGTATATACACACACACACACACGTGATTTTGCACACCCATGCCGCCCTGTAGCAGTATTTCTGGTATAGGGCAGCACGGTAACGGTTAACAGCCTGTTTTAAAAAGTAACCCCACCCCCATTAAAAAAGTGACATTTACATATCAAAAAGTTACTTTTAGTAGCTGGCTATATGTAGTCTGCTAAAGGCTGTAACACTATTTTAGAGAGTGTAGAGTGCTTTAAAGTGAAGGGGATCTGGTGCGGAAAGTTTGTGCACAGATTCCTGTTTAAAAATGCACAGTAACAACTAATACAACTATGGCCATGTTGCTAGCTGTTGGTTGCACATTGAGATGGTATAACACAACAAACTAGTTCAAGATACGATGCTATCACTCACCCAGCCAGTAGTTCTTGTAATTAGAGGTGTCATACAAATGTGATGGCAGAAGGATCAGCTTTCCATCTTCAAGCTCGGTAAACATATATATGTCAGGATTTTCAAACAGACCAAGCTCAATGACCTTGAAAAGGCAGGTGAAAACTTCCTCCAAATCATAATAATCATCCCGATCCACCTTCCCCTGTGCTCTGGCAGTCAAAATGGCCCAGCGGCGGATCTAAATAAAAAGTACAATTTTAAATTATTCAAAAAACCACATGCCTGGTCTCAAAGATGAACTTACTGTTGTGGCCTGAAGAACAACTAGCAGTGAGTGGGAAACATGCAGACTCTTGAATGGGCAATCAAGGTCTAAAATGGAAGTCAAAATTTTTTATGTTTTACCCAAAAGGTAAGCCTTTAAGAAGGCTTACCTGTACATACTGTAAATACATCATTGCACTGTTTAGGAGATATTTACTGTAGCAGCGGTCCATTGAGAGAGCTGTGCTGCGGCTGAAACTCCCACGCATGTGGACATGATATGATTGTAGCTCGGCCAGTCAAACGGCCACTGCCCACGAGCCTGGAAGGAAGACCGGAAGTTGGTGACAGAACTGTGCTGGAGGGCTTCATCTTCAGGTTTGTCTTTTATAATGTGCTAATATGGAATTAATTTTTTTAGACGTTTGTTTGCAGTTTACTACCGCTTTAATGAGATGGAATTTAATCCCTGATAAAAATAGTACATTTTGGAATTGCTTATTCAAATAAATGTTCTCACAACTTTGGGCAGATCAGCAAAGTACTGTAGGTCCCACACTTGGCAGACACTAAAGGACTGGGCTGGGAGGGGGGGGGAATTTTTTCCCTGGGCCAGTACTAATAAAAGTGGACTCAAGTATAGCAGAGATTCTCATTGTTTAGAGTGAGGACAACAGTTCTGTTCTGCCCTGTGATCACATCTAACAGATAAAAGTCCTGGTCTAGGCAGTGAAGACTGTGAAAATTACCTTACAACTGTCCACTCCTGGGATGACAACAGCTGAAATTGCAGGACAGTTTTTTCATACTTCCCTTATTGTCAATGCTATAATGGAAGTCCACCAAGCTAGGTATGGCTGGATAGAAACATAGGCAGGTCAAGAGACGTAGTAGGTTTGTTCCAGACCAACAGAATATTGTATTGGAGAGGACTTGAATGGAATTGTGAAAATACAAACAGCCTAAAAAGGAAACCACCCTGAGGCCCAGAACTGTCAGAATCTCACAGAGGGATCTACAGTAGTTTGATCTTAAGGTCCGAGCATGTGATCAAAGAGGTACAAGTTTGTTTTTTGGAAGGAAAACTTTAGCTTGGGCTGTGTCATTTTAGACCGGGAGGGAAGGTTAGAGGGCATATGTTCGAAAGTTGATGATCCATCTAAAAGATTTAAGTTTCTGAAGTGTGGACATTTGCAGTTGGAAGGGAGACGAGTCATTCAGAAGAAGGTCGTCTGGGTATCCTATAACTTGAATCAATGCTAGAGCCATCGGAGTATTATTTTAGATTCCAGCACTTCTCTATTAATGCAGAGAATGCATTAAGCTTAAAAAAAAACAAAAAAAAAAACTCAAAAAAAAAAAAAAAAAAACACCTATAGAACCACTTTAATGGTGGGAGACTTGCCGCAGACTATGTGAAAATTTGTCGTTTTTATAAATTCCTTTATGAAATTTTCAATTTGATGTAAATAAAAGATCTATTTTTAGTAACAAGTTTTTGCATACATTATCACTCCAAGTAGCACCTGAAAAGTCCCAGACATTTCTTCTCATATTATGATAATCTAATTATGGGAATGTTGTGCAATTTGACACAAAGTCATATGTTTATTAATGCCAGTGTCCAATCCTTGTGTAGGTGACAGCATAACCACAGGGGAAAAGACTTCCCACGTCCCTCAAAAGAATAGGATTTGATTTACTAGTACAATCTGTTTTTTGGGGTACTGGAATGGACAAAAGTTCTTTGGTCTCTATCGTAGATCATATGCAGCTACTTTCATGTAATAGAACAGTGGCAAAAAAAAGGTGCTGGGACTCCCATATATAACCCTTCCTACTACCAACTAGCCTTAGTTTTGTAGCAAGCAAAAGGAAGGTCAGAAATCGTGTCCTTAGTTGTGCAGGAGAGGACAAAAGGATCTTTAGTCTTTGCCCTGGGATATTGAAAGCCAGTCCAACACAGCAAGAATTCCAACAGACCGACATAAGAAGGGGTCAAGGAGGATTTGACATTAATTCAGAACAGCCTTAGGACTGAAACTGGCATCAAAGAGGCCTGAACATCCACCCGGTAATGCCTAACAGACATGTGAACAGAAACCTGAGTGGCAGCCATGCAAGTCTCAGAAATAGATGCTTGGCAGTGAAAAGCCTAGAAGGCACTAATAAAACTGGTAGAGTATGCATTAAAAAGGAAGAAAAAGGGAGGAACCCTAATTGTCAGATCACATGCTCAAACAACTCAACTAATTCATCTGGGAATGGTGGAGCAAGAGGCAGGTAGAACCTACCCTTCTAGAAGCTCAAAGAGGAATTCAATTGCCTAAAAGAGTCAGTGGCTGGGAGAAATATATATCCTAGGGGCTTACCTGACCGCAGCACTGGGTTGAAAACCCACCAAAAACCAGGGAGAATCTGGCCTTAAAAGGTCATATGCATGGGACAGTCCAATGACCATATCTGCTAGAATATTGGTTAGTGACACTGGGCATATGGTACAGCCTCAAAAAGGAGGCAACCATCTGACCCAAGACCCTCATGCCAACACAAAGCAAAGCCCTCCTCTGGGCCTTGAGGGTTCAAGCATAAAAGCAGAGGGACAAAAACTATATCCTGGAGCAGAAAGATCACAAATTCTAATATGTGAGATGGTTCCAATAATGACTTCTATGGGTTGATGATCCAAACTAAGCTCTGCAGAGTTTGCTATGTCTGCTGAATGTTGGCGGACAGGGATAGGGTGTACTGATCCTTCAGATTAGCATTTAAGTATCCCACAACATGAAACCCTTTAGCACAAAGTTAAGACCTTTGGAAATACCCTGGAACTGTTCACAGGCCAAAGGGAAGGGCAGAAAACTGGTGATGCTGATCATACACTGCAAAACTCAGAGAACATGGATTGGGAGGAAAGACGGGAACATGCAACTAAGCGTCCCGAATATCTACTGAAGCCAAATGTCCCATTGAAGGAAGGAGGCAATATGTAGGAACAAGTTAGGAGTTTAAATCCAGAATGGGCCAGTCTACTCCGTTTGGTCTGGTAAACTGTAAGAAAGGTTTGAGCAGAAGCCTTGAAAATGTTACTCTTTTGATACAGGGGTAAGGACTCCTTGAGACAGATGCAGATGAAGGGCAGCAAGAAGACGCAATCATCTTCGCAGAGAAAGAGGCAGGTTTGAAAGAGTGGAGGCAGAATATGAAACTCCAGTTTGTAGCCCCTGAAAATGACACTCTGGAGGGCATGAAACCAGACTTCAGGTTTGGAAGGTCACATCTGTCTACAAAAAGAAATTTGATAGGAAAAGAAAATGGGACTTTAAAACAAAAAAGGTATGACTCTTCAGCAAATAATCCACACATAAATATATAAAATCAAACTTGCAAAAACAATGGCAAAGACTTTGAGCATTGTTGTGATTAGGGATGAACTTCAGGCTTGGGTTAAAGAGGACTTTGACCTGAACCCAGCCTGTTTGTAGTTCATTTTACCAGTTCAGCTGCTTGAACGCCCTCCTGAAGTGAAAAAAAAAGGAAGTCTGGCATTTAACAAAAGTATCACTTCACTCATAAATGACAGGTCCCTAGCACTGCTGGAATGTAAACAGTGCCATGAACCTGGGTGACTCAACTGACAAAGTAATTAAAACATCTAAAATACACAAACCCTTTAAATCACGTGCAGATTTAAGGCATCATTTAAACATGTTAAGCTGCAGAGCAGCAACAACCCCCCCCCAGGGTTTGCTGACAAGGATTTGTTATTTAGCAGCAGAGGTTCCACAGTAGCTAAATAACAGATTCCCAACCGCTGTTTGAAAATAAATAAATAATTTTAAATTGCATCTTTTTGCTCCATGACATATGGGTTTAAGGCGACCCCTAAAGCTTGTAAAGGATTGGAGTATTGTTAACGTTGCCCTTTAAGCTTCATTAGAGCCTGTCCTTGCTGAATGGTAATATTTATTTGGACTGGTCCCCTATAGCAGCAACCAGTTACCTATGGCTATTTTTAACCAAATCTTGCATATTTGCCTAGAAAAAGGCCAGAAAAAAAAATAACTAAATGTAACTCCTTCAGACTTCTCCTGTGAACCAATGTTTTCTGGATCACAAAGAAAAAACCTTAGACTTCAGCATACCTAGTTATGGCCTAAGGTTGAGAATTTGTAAGAAAAAAAATAAATTAAAAACCCACCTGGTGAATGCTTGAAGTATGCCTGTTATATATTTAAAAACACACACAAAAAAAAAAAAAAAAAAAAAAAAAAGAAATTGGTACAGAAGATCAAATTTTCCTTTTCTGGGGGAGAAGAGTTCTCTTACCAGCTCTGATCTTGATATAACTTATTCAAGATGTGAGATTCTGCCCATGTGGATGGTGAGATGATAAATCTTAGAGATCTGACTGTGTATACCTCGAGCTGTTCACACGGAAGTGCAAGACCATTACTAAGCAATACCTTCAGTCACCAGAAGGTAGCTGCATATATCCCATGGCATAGACTAAAGATTCTGTATGCCATACTGTTCAGCTAAAAACGAAAGTACACTATGCATATGCACAGACATGAGACAAAGGTGAGAAATGAGACTGGAGGCTTCTAGACAACCATCAGAGCTGGTAGCAGGTGAGGGTCGAATGTCCTTCTGTGACCAAATTCACAGTAGCTAGGCAGCAAAAACAAAACTAAGATCAAAGTTCCATGTGGCTGTTAAGGAGGAGCAACAGCAGCAGGGAGATGCTTCCATCAACGAGGAGGAGGAGGGAGGGAGGGAGGAGAAAAAAGAAGGAGAGAGGGAGGAGGGAGGAGGAGGAGGAGGGGGGGGGGGTAGCTACCAGTTTACTCATTAGGTAAACATTTAGAGATGAGGCAATGCCAAAGGCTGGGAACTTGA